GGGGGATCTGGCCATGTTTGGTACATTTTCGAGTTTTGAAAAATGTCTGTGGTCATTTATATTTGTGTATTATAAATGTGGAAAAATGAAGGGGTTTTCAGCTACTCTTAATGTCATTGCAGATTTTGCAAGAATTTTGAGGTGGTTGGAATTTTTCAAATATTATCCGTGGTTGCAAATTTTGCTATGAAGTTTTAATTTGCTATGAAATGGCGATAATATGACATATATGGGGTTAAAGAAGTGGCAATTCTAGATGATGAACATCAACTATTATCTTCATTAGTTATTGCTAAAATTCCCAAGTTAACTCAGCACACTAGTGATCCATGGCTATACTGAATATTCCATCCTTGCCACAGACATTATGGATACTTTTATCAGATCTTTTGGTATCATGTTGATGTAGGATCTATTTACCATTGCACTTGGCTGGACTATTTTTGGTGGGCTTCCTTTCGATTTTGTGAGTAAAAACCTTCTTATATCTGTTCTCTACACGCATTACTATTATCTCTTCTGCATTTGTGATTTCACTCTCTGATTGAATATTATTTTGCTTCCTTACAGTTCAATGTCATTGGGCAATGCCTTGGTTTTGCTGGCTCCGGTTTGTATGCCTACTATAAGCTCATAGGGAGGTAAATGCACAAACTATAGAGACCCTTGCTTCACAGGATGTTCCCACCTGTTATAGGTTCTTGGAAGAGACTTGACTATGTCGAGGAGGTTTTTGTTCGATAGGTCACTGATACACAGCATATTCTGGGAACCACCTGGCCCCGACTCCAAAACTGACTACCATTTTTAGAGCTTTTATTTATCTTTTCTCAGCAACACTACAAGTGTTTCGGTGTATCACCCGGACCTCTGATGATGTTGAAATATGCTTATGATACTATCCTAACCAGCCATTTTTCCTTGTAAAAGACTCGCATGTTCCAGTGACTTCAACCTGTCGAAGTCAGTGTATATGATTGCAATTTGTAATGGAGCTTGACTTCAGAGTTCATAGAACGCCTTGTGCTTGAGAGAATTCTGTTATTTACGTTTGCAGTTTTGCTATTCACTGGAGCAGCATTGGAGCAAAAATTAGGAAGCACTTTAAAGGGACGAGGAATAAGACCAGTACTTGTAAACTTCTGCTCTATTTTATTAAAACAAATTCGTTTTTTTTTTAATCCTTATATTGAGCTAGCTAGATGGTCAGATCAATTAGGTTTTATTAAGTCAATACCTAGTTTAGTTTAACTATAGCTTGTTAATCTGAGTTTAACGACTTTGTCTTTAGTATCAAGTTTCCCTTTTATTGAAGATTTGTGTCATTGTCATGTACATATTTTCATAAATATTTATCTTTAAGCTTCAGGGGGGGAGACTTCATCTTCTTCACAACACTGTCCCCATGTAGCTCGTCTACAGCTACCACTTTTCAACTCCCTCATCGGCTAACGTAACCGTCAGAGGTTCCTTGCCTGCTGTAAAGGGACTTCTTTGTTTCATGTAAAGGGTCTTCTTCGTTCTCAAGGTTACACATCCTTTACACATGAGATTACAGACCAACTCAAGCATGTCCAATAGGAGGTCAATGTGGGTTAAAGTTTATCGCTGTGAAATTCAAGTCCTATGTTCTTAAGAGCCCTCTTGCTCTTTTTATCTTTTCTTTTCTTCCCCTTTTTTTTTTTTTTATGGAGGGGATTTTACCCACCAAATGTTACTATTTTTTGGTATCACATCTCAAAACACGTTAAATAATTCTTAATTTCTATTACTAATATTTCTAATAAACAAATCCATTAATAATAAATAATTACTTATTTTCTCTCTTTAATTTGTTATTAACATTTAAACCTCTATTTTATTAACAGACTAAACATTATTTTTTATTCAACAATATATATTCTCATGCGAATATAGATTAATTTATTTTCCTTAAGGTTTCACCTTTATTCTTTTAAAAATATTTCTTAAGTAATAATTAATCCTTATGAATTGAGATTAACTTCTTTTCCTTAAGGGCTCATCTTTACCTTTTTAAAAATCTTTCTCAGGTAATAATTAATCCTTATGAACATATATTATTTTCCTTTCTTTAAGGGCTCACCTTTACTCTTTTAAAAATATTTGTTAGGTAATAATTAATTCTTACAGAATAGATTAATTTCCTTTCCTTACGGCCTCACATTTACTCTTTTAAAAATCTCTCTTGGGTAATAATTAATCCTTAGGAATGAAATATCAATCCAAGTTAGTTAATAAAACCACATTGGCTTTTGCATGGAGATTTTCTATAATTTCTAAATTATCAAGCTAATAATAATAGTAATAAATTAATAATAGCAAACTCTATTTTGTTGCATGAGCTGAGCTGGTGCCCAAAGAAACCGTTATTCTTCCAAAAAAGATACCCAACTGTCACCCTTGACCCTCTTTCCCTCCCCTCCTCTCCCCTCCCCTCCTAAAACAAGCAATTCCATATTCCAGAATCTCCCAAAAGCGAAACCCTAACTCTCTTTCCACAATGCGTGTCTCTTTCACCTAAGGATCTTCTCAAAATCAATACATAAATGGAGGAGGAAGAGGAGAAGAAGGAGGAGGAGGAGGAGAGCTCTGTGATTCAGCTGGCTGATTTCAGAATCGACGGTTCTTATTCACCTCCAACTTCTTCTTCTTCTTCTTCTTCTTCTAGTCGACACCTTCACCGCCGGTCTACTTCATTACCGTCCTTAATGACTCTCGATGGCCGACGTTCAAGTTTCGGCAACGTCACCACGACTCTTTTTTATTCTTATAATAAACTTCCTGAAGAGCCTCTCAGACTCTCTGTTCTCAAATTAGACGCCTCCTCCTTCGGTTCGTACCTGATGTTTCTTTTCCTTTTTTATTGTTTTTTGTTCTGTTCTGTTTGGTTGCTGAGAAAATGCAGGGAAATGAGAAAGAAATTTAAGAAATTGGGGTTAATTTGTGTGTTTACAGAGATTGAAGTAATGAAGTCAGCTACAGTTGAAGAACTAAGGCAAGCGGTTGAGGCTGTGTTTAGTTACATGCCGCAGGAAGGACCGGGAAAGATCTCATGGTAAAATTAAATTAAATTAACATGAAAATTACAAATGCAATTTGTGTTTGTGGATGCTTTGGATTTTGTGTTGTGTTTTGTTGAGATATATTATTAATGAGGGGAGAAGTGAATTGTGATTTGGAAATCGTGTAGTTTGTGTTGGTTTGCTAGATGTGGAAGAGAATGCTAGGGTTTGGGGTTATAGATATGTGATACTTTGCGGTGTGAATTTTTGGTTTTGTGTAGGCCGCATGTGTGGGGGCATTTTTGCTTGTGTTATGGTGATCATAAGCTGCTTGTGGAGACAGATTATATTAAAAACTATGGCATCAAGGATGGTGATCAGGTACGTGGCACGTTTTTCTTTTGTGGGTTTAGAAGATATTTTGGTTATTTCCTCTGCTGCTGTAGGTTTTTTTTAAAATTTTTTTTTGTTGGATGGATGATCGCTGCATTGTAGATGAAAACAGCTGCATTCATGGGTTTAGTGCCTGCATGATGCATATATAATAGGTGAAGATGTAATGGATTTTGGTGATTCTGGTCTCTATAAACTGAGATGAGAATGGCTAAGTTCCTGGAGTATCTGGTCTTGGTTCTGTCGGGAGTTGGTTTTGCTCTGCTTGTTTACTAGAGCTCTAACTGATGTCTATGAAATCACGAAGAATCAAATTCAGCAAATGATATTGGGTGTCCCTGGAGTTGTTTGTTGACAAATGCTATTAGTTTCCAGTTTTGTTACTATTCTAAGGAACCGCAAAGAGTTTATGCTCGAATTACTTGATGCTCACAATTTCTTGTTTGGTACTTGCAGCTTCAATTTATCCGGCATGTCTCAGGCAACTACAGTTTGAAAAAGAAGCATTCATTGAAAAGGATTGTTGCGTCAGAATCACCAAAAATGTAAGGATCTGCACCTGACCATATCTTTCTTTGATTTCTTTAGATATTATCGTTGTGTCAGGTCTTTTGTAACAGTTTACTTACTAGCTTTCAGTCACAGATAAACATGCTTGCTTGCAACATAGACAAGTTTGTCATTTCTTAAGCTATGTTGAACTACGTTAGTCTCTCTATTTTACCTTTGCAATTTGTATAAACAAACACATGTTTTGAGCTATAGTGAAACTGTAAGAAAAAACATAGGCTCCGCGGAAATTGTTGTGTACTTAAGATATGGCAATTCAATTATGTGATGCTTTGGGTAGAGATGATTTTCACCTATTTCTGAAATCGACACATGCTTTAGGCTACCTTGAAACTAAAAACAAATTAGATTGCAGAAACCGGAGTGTATTTAAGATATGGCAATTCAATTTCTGAAATGCTTTGGTAAGCATAATTAATAATTTCCTTTGACATGTACGGCTTAGTGAGATTGAATGAACTCGTGGGCAATCTATGAGAAAGAGATAAGAAGGGTTTCGGTCTTTGGAACCTCTTGAAGCCCTTTAAAACATTATTATAGTTACAACTTTGATGTTACCACTCGTCATTTGTAAATGTCTATTAAAAGTTTCCAGTCCACTTGCATCTGGCATGGGTTGCTTTAAAAAGTGTTAATTCTCTAGTGACTTCAGGAATCTGTCTTTGTTTATGAATTCATCTATCGGAACCATATACGACATTAATGGGAATGTGCATGTGCAGCTCACTGTCACCATCAAATCGCTCTGAAGAGAAAGAACAGAATTACAAAGACAAAGGTTATGATGACTTGGAGAATGGGAAGTGCCAGCATTTTCAAGATAAAAACGATGGCATTATTACACAAGACGAGGCCAGATGGAATTGTTTCTTCAGACGGTGGTTCATGTACTCCAGGCTGTCAACCATGGATAGGACAATTGGCTGGAAGACTTCTCCATCTAGATCTGCCTGTGGTTTCTTGGGCAGTTTTAGAAGGATACTGCAGTTTTACGGTAACAACAGTTATTCCCGGAAAGGTACACTTAGAGAGGATTAGTGATCGGCTGAAATGCATCACAAATGCGGCTTCTTTCTGTTATTGAACCTTTACCTCGAGACATGCCGTGATAGCCTTAAATGAAAGCTGCCCCTAGTCTCTTAACATGCCGCGGAAACCATGTTTTTGTACAAGTGTTGCTCACAAATCTGAATTGCTCAATGATTTCGGTTTACAACACTAGCCATGATTATCCAATGCCCAATGGACAGTGGACAAATACATGCACTGATACAGGTAGTGGCCCATTCTCCCTTTCTTTTCCCAAATCTACTGCAATGCAATTGATGAGTTTAAGAATTCAAAATTACATATAAAATTATGTCCTTTCCTCGATTTTCCTGTCACTGTATATTCTCTCTTCCCATAGCGTAATTGAGTTTAAGGCTCTAATTTGACCCCTCAGAGTCTGAGTTTTAGGTTGAATATTTTGACGAGAGAAATAGAAAGCGTAAAAGCATTGATAACTTTCTCCAGTGAGCATTTCCGCAAAGCTATTTAACAGGGGCAACGTTGGGATCACTGATTGCATGGATTAACCCGCTTCGTTTCAGTTTTTTTCAAAAGAAGTTAAAAGACAGTTATTTTAAGAAAAATAAATTAAAAAGCTAAACTTGTTTTAACTAGGTTGTTTTAATTTGACAGGTTAACTTTCGCAAGTTTTTCTTTAAAAACATTCAACGTAGCATAAGTCATGGATTGTATCGCTGGCCAGGCCAAGTCAGACAAGTGTTTTTGGTTGTCAAAAAAAAAAAGAACTGTTTGTTAAAAATTTAAATTTAGTTTATTTAAAAATATTTTTTATAAAATATATAATTTAATATATTTCAAATAAAAAATATTTTAAAAAATAATTGCCACTACAAAATTAAATACCTTATTAATAACTCTATATTTCAGATGATACATAAATCTGGGTTCACAGGGATATTACACATCCTATCAACCAATTTGGCAACGGTTATATAGGAAATCAGATCAAGCCATGCCAACATCCGATCATCATCAATAAAATCTTACAAGAGATGTTTTGACACTCTGTCGATAAATCAAAGGCCCAAAGCATGACTGGTAGGGTGGTCAACGGTTTCTTTTTTCTAACCTTGAGTCCCAGCGGTCAGATAGGCAGGGCTGCCTCTATGAATTACGGGCGGGTCGGATCAATATGGACCAGGGTCAAGAACACATAAATCACACGTGCATAGCAATTCCTCTCCGCTCCACTCCTTCCCCTTGCCCATTACAAACCTCAGCAATTTGTGTGGCAAAGAAAGAGATAACCCCCTTCCAAAAAATCCACTTCCCATTTCCACACAAAATCTACCATTCCCACCACCATCAGTCATCACCTCTCACACCCCGAAGGACACCTCAACTCTAAATTTTGCATCTTTAGTCATCAGCCATGGCCAACATGATCATGGCCTCTTCCAAACCTCTCATCAACCTATCCTCCTCTTCCCTCCCCGCCAACACCAAACCCAAACTCCAAATCCCACAACTTTCCTTCCCTAAAATCCTCAAGATCACCAAACCCCAACTCCTATCTCTCTCCGCTTCCACCCTCAAATCCCTCTCTCTCATTGCTGCCACTTCCTTAACCTTCGCACCACCTTCTTTGGCTGAAGAAATAGAAAAAGCTGCTCTCTTTGACTTCAACTTAACACTTCCTATAATCATGGTTGAGTTCTTGGTCCTCATGGTTGCTTTGGACAAAATCTGGTTCACCCCACTTGGTAATTTCATGGATGGGAGAGATGCGGCTATAAAAGAGAAGCTGAGCAGCGTTAAAGATACATCTGAAGAAGTTAAGCAACTTGAAGAACAGGCTGCTGCTGTTATGAGAGCAGCTAGGGCTGAGATATCGGCTGCATTTAATAAAAAGAAGAAGGAAACTCAGGGTGGAGTGGAGCAGAAGTTGGCTGAAGGAAGGAAGAAAATTGAGGCTGACTTGCAAGAAGCATTGGCTAAATTGGAGATTCAGAAAGAGGAGACTATGAAAGCACTTGATTCACAAATTGCTGCTCTCAGTGATGGGATTGTCAAGAAGGTGCTTCCTGTTCAATGAAGTTAATACTTTATGGTTTAGTGTGTGCTTATATTTTGTGAGATTGGAAATGAATTCCGTTTATTAATGTATATGTTCTTTGAATTACACTGATGGTATGCAATGAAAGGAGTGAATTGGAAAACTTTTTCTTTCTTTCCTTCTTGTTGCTTAGTTTCTGTTGCTCTTTCCCCCTCCTTGTTTTATGGAAATACTGAGTTAAGTTGCTTTGTGAGCTAGAATTGTTTGTGAAATAGCAGTATAAACTTGTGTTCAGATATTAGGATGGAGTTTAGGGAGATCGTTAACACTAAAAGCATAGGTGCGCTATCATTCAAAAAAGGACGCAAGTTTGTTTTGGAGATTAGGATGGAGTTTAGAGAGCTCTTTTCTCACCTTTGTGACCATCCTGTTTTGGTCAATTTGCCTCTAAAACGGATGCTTGTGGTTTTCTTTTGTGTGTGCCTTATTTCAATATGTGAACTGGCATTGCTAAACTTGAGAAGGTAACTACAACTTTAGTTTGTAGGAATTGGAGGGGAGAGGTAAATAAAGATGACATGGGTTGAAGTCATCACACAAATTTGAGTTTGATAAGCAACATTATTAATGAAGAACGTAGGCAATGAAGATTAGGTTAACATGTTGGATCCTCTAATACTTTGTTTCTTAGGTTTTGTTGTTTACCATGTTTAAATGAAAATTTGGCAACTGGGTTAAATTGCTTTATAAACTAGAAATTTGTAGCAAGCTGGCAGTATAAAGTTGCCTTGTAAGAGTATCTGACAGCCTCTTCTGATCATTTGAATCTGTTCTGGCACCTTCACTGCCTTGGCCTCTAAAGATGATGTGGTGGTGCTTGTGATCTTGTTTTGTGGTTCATGGATGTTAATTTTATTTGGCTATATGCTGATTGCCAATGGTGAGACTTGAGCAAAGCATAAAAGGTAATTTGGAAACGTTGATCTTTGGTTAGGTGTCACCAGACATCTAAGAGGGTGGTGAATTTGTGAATGAGAGGATTTATGGATGTTAATTTTATTTGGCTATATGTTGATTGCCAATGGTGAGAGTTGAGCAAACCATAAAAGGTAATTTGGAAACGTTGATCTTTGGTTAGGTGTCACCAGACATCTAAGAGGGTGGTGAATTTGTGAATGATATCTGCACTCATTTCTTTCTGCTGAAATCTCTAGTGAGAGTTCCACACCACAGTCCTTTTCTAGTAACCAGTAGAAAAATAATGGGATTTGAAATCAACTCAGTTTCTTTGATCTGAAACTGGAGTGTTTGTAAGGCAACAATTCGACAGATGACCCTCGAGCTTTCTACTTAATGAAGAAACCATTGAGCAATTGAATAACAAATAGAAGCAGAAATCTTATAGTGAGAATGCGCCATTTCATTTGTAAGCGATTGGTAGCAGCTTCCAAATTGTAGATTTAACGGAAACTTATTGGTACCGTGAAAATTTTCTTTCTTGTTCTTATATTAATTGTTTGAGTTTCACTTTGATTATTGGAATCAAAGAGATATTTCACAATACAAATATCTTTGTAAACCTTATCAAGTTAATTTTAATAGTCAATGATGAAAAAAGAGAAAAAAAAACTATATTCTTTCAAAATTAAAAACTTGCATCTTTTAATGGGTTATGCTCGGTTCCTTCTTCTAGTAACTCTTCTAATTCTAAACAGATCAAGCTTAACTCTTCTTCTAGTAATTCTTCTAACATTTGAATTAGACTCATCCCTTATAAATAGGTCAGGTTTAACATAATAACCAATACAAAATGCCTTTGGAGAAAAAAGATCCTGCTATAGGATTATATAATAGTTTCTGGCACAACTGTTACAATTTTTAGTGAGAAGCGCATGAAATACATGCAAGATCATCGTTAGAACCATCATACTTGCTAACCATTGATGAACTGATCGGATTAGGCAACAAAATTTAGTGTTAACCACTACATATCAAATAGAAGCTGCCGAGCTAGCTTCGGTCATCATATATTGTACATGAACAAAGGTTTAGCAATGGATGAATGATAGTAAAAAGACATTTTCTTAAACAACTTGAGTGCAAAGCATGGTTTAAACAGAAAGGTCACCATCGTCTAGACCAGATGATCAAAGTAATCGGCTGGCTGCACCCAGGTCCTGGGGGCATTCATAAACATGTGGTAGAAACTTCGAACTCACTCTACAGTGACTAAAAACCATGTAGAATTATCCATGGTGACCATAGCTGATCAAGGTTGCTTGTGTTTGACAATTAAGTTTTGTGTATGTGTATACGACTTTTGAATTATGATTTATAATTCGAACAAAAGTTGTTTTTTATAAATAACTTAGAAAATATATATTAAAATAACTTTAAATTAAAAACAAAGAAAGTTGGGAATCGCAACTTCTAATTAAAACAAGATTTAAATTAAAGATTATTTGTGATAAAAAAAACACTGGCGACCTTTTTAAGTGTAAAAAAAAAAAAAACACTTAAATCGATTCATAAAAATCATAACCTAACTCTGTAATCACCAAAAACAGAATTCCTCCATGGCATTTCGTTTCATTTTTTGAACGAGGGTTGGGATCTGGACAAGGATTGCTTGCTGGGATTACACGATGGCTTGCTCCAAGGTTAGACGCATCTTGCACATGTCCATGGCCATTACGCTAGGTTTCTTAGACTTGTTGGGTTTAATTTGCTTGTGTTTTGTCATGTCTTACGATTGAGAAAACAGAGCCAATCTTGCGGTGCAAGTTTTTGACCTCTTCTTCACGAGGAAATTGACTGCTATTTTATAAGTATCATGTTTGCTACTGCAGTTAGCTTAGCTTCGTAGCGTCCGATGAATGCATGTCGCATCATAAATAAAGGGCAACGTTGGCCTTTCCTTTGTCTAATCAAGTCGTTTGTTTAATAATGTTTCAAAAAGTCTTTTAATTAAAAATATTTTATTCTTGATTTTGACGTAATCCTATTAAAATCATTAAAAAAAAGAATATTAAAAAATATTAATTTAATAACCTTTTAAAGAAAAAGCATTTTAAAAATCAAATCAAACCACAAAAACACACTATTAATTTCAACTACATCTTAAGCTACTATTACCCGGAACCCGGAATATATATATATATTCCAGTCTCTTTTTAAAACCACTCTGCGAACCAGTTCTAACGATTATGATTAAATAATTGTCTATCAAACTCTTTTTTCGCAGTTTATGAAATATCTCTTCAATTTTTCCAAACTATGTTTCAATAAATAATTCAAGTGACCCAAAATATTAAAAGGAAAAGGTGGGAAAAAAATTAGTTAATGACCCCAATTTTGGAACTGAATTGTCAAAATCTCAATTATAATCAAGAATGCAAACCTCATCTAACTATCTAGATGGTGGTCAAGTGGTAAAGATTTGGGATTAAGGGGTTTGCTTTCTCTATAGTTTCAGGTTCGAGTTCTTGGTTGCTCATATGATTGCCACTGGAGACTTACATAGTCGTTAACTTCAGGATCCGTGAGATTAGTCTAGATATACGCAAGCTGGCCCGAACATCCACGTTAATAATAATTAAAAAAAAAAAAAAGAATGCAGGCCTCACCTATGTCAACCTTTAAGAGTATGGTTAGATTTAAAAAAAAAAAATGCAGTGGTAATGTAAAATATTTTTTATTTGAAAATATATTAAAAAAATTATTATTATTAAAAAATTATTTTTTATATTAATAAAGTAAAATATTATTTTAAAATAAAAAATACTTTTCTAAAAAAATACTTTTAAAATAGAAAAATAAAAACCCCAAACCTTCCATCGTAAATAAATAAAAACAGAGAGAGATAGAGACAGTCTCTCATGTGTTGTTGTTGTTAGTGGTATCGAAATTTGCTTCGATTTGCAAACCACTGTTTTGTTTCTTTGGTTGTTCCCTCTCTCTCACTCTCAATCTTTCTGTCCTTTACTCTTTTAGATTATTATTATTAACAAGTTTACCTTCTTTTTTTCCTAGTTCAGCTCAATCAATTCGTCGAAATTTCTGAGGCTTTTTAGAGCCTCTCTCTGTATATATTTTCTCTTCAAGCCTCTCTTTAATCAGTTCTTCCAGAGTAGGTATTTCTCTTCTTTAATTTAAGATTATGTTTGTTAAAGAGAGAAACTTTGGTTGGTTGCTTAGAAATTGTTAAGAATTAATTAGAGAATGAAAATATGAATTCTGGGTTTCGATGTTTTTTGTGTTCTTTTGCTGTTCAAGTGAAGCAAAAAGTAAAGGGTTGAGAGCATAATATTCAAAGACTGCTGCTTTTTTTCCTTTCCTTTAATGGAAGCCAACAGGGTCCTTAAGGAACTCTTTGGATTCCGAGAAAAAGAGTTTTTTTTTTTTTAGTGATCATTTCATTACCAAACATAAAGAGCATAAAGTTTGTGAATTTATTGTGAAGTTTGTTTGTTTTGCATAATTACGATATATTTTGTGATCTTTTATCTTCGCATGTTTGTTGTTAATTGTATCGATTTGTTACATTTACTTGTTTTCCGGTATGTATTATTGCAATTCAATTGTTTTGTTTGATGGGTTTTTGTCAATTTGTCTTCCTTTTGAAATTAACTCGACATATTTTTTCTTTTTGGTATAAGATAGAATGGCCAGCAAAGTTGTTCCTGCTCAGCCCGTGACTCCTTTCGAGTTTGAGCTTTATGAAGATCCTGATCACCTTAGAACTGTGGTGGCCTCGTCAAGCCAGCTAAGTCCTAGGATTGATCCTGCGAAATTGAAACTTAGACATAGAATTGGGAGGGGACCTTTTGGTGATGTTTGGTTGGCTACTCATCATCATTCAACTGAAGATTATGATGAGTGTCATGAAGTGGCAGTCAAGATGTTGCATCCCATTAAGGAGGAACATATGAGGGTTGTGCTGGATAAGTTTGATAATTTGTTTTCAAAGTGTCATGGCATAGAAAATGTGTGTTTTCTACATGGGATTTCAGTTATAAATGGAAAGGTGAGCTGGTGCCTTTATGTGTGATATACAATGATTAGATTACATTTCTGGCTAGTTATTAGATCATTAGTACTAATGCCTGTATTTCATTATAGATATGCATCGTGATGAAGTTTTATGAGGGATCCATTGGGGACAAAATGGCTCGCCTTAAAGGAGGAAAGCTCTCTTTACCTGATGTTTTGAGGTGAATTAGTTTTTCCCCTTAAAATCTTAATGATTAAATTAGCAAAGAGCAGTCTAGCCTTAGTGTTTACTTATGTTTGCAGGTATGGTATAGCGTTGGCTCAGGGAATTGCACAGTTGCATGCTAAAGAAATCCTAGTTTTTAACCTTAAACCTTGTAGCTTCCTTCTTAATGAGAATGATCAAGCAGTTCTGGGAGATGTTGGTATTCCTTTCCTGCTATTTGGAATTCCATTGCCAAGTGCAGATATGTCTCGGAGGCTTGGAACCCCAAACTACATGGCTCCAGAACAATGGCAGCCAGAAATACGAGGTCCAGTATCCTTTGAGACAGATTCATGGGGATTTGGGTGCAGTGTTGTGGAGATGTTGACTGGTGTTCAGCCTTGGCGTGGGAAGTCTGTTGAAGAAATTTACGACTCAGTGGTTAGGAAACAAGAGAAACCACGTATCCCTGAGGGCCTCCCTCCTCCAGTTGAAAATGTTCTTCTTGGCTGCTTTGAATATGATTTGAGGAGTCGGCCCTTGATGACAGACATAGTACGTGTATTTAAAAGGTAGGTCTTGCATTATAAGTAGATCTTTGGCATGCTAATCCTGTTATATGTTGGCAAACATATGTTGCTATCTTTTGTAAAATGAAAATTAGGTCTTTCATTACTTTCTTCTAGACATTTCTAGACATCACTTGCCTTGGAAATGCTGATGAATGCAATAAAATGGGTACTTAGGCCGCTTAGTAAATGTGTCATTAGATTTAGCTTTGCAAATGGCCTGTTTGGATAAGCATACCTGTCGGACATCAAACTATGCTTGTATATGTATCTTAGTTCCTTTTATTTGATTATCTTTTATTCCCAAAAAATTTCAATTTCATGTCTGTACAGAAAATTTTGCCTCGCCACAAATTTAGATGGCACAGCATTTAGGATAAAAATTGTGTTCATTGTATCTGTTGTTTGCTTATTGTCCATTTCTACACATGAAGAGGAGACAGATTCTGTGGGATACTGTGATTTGTTGTTCTTGCTCCTATGGATTAGACAATTCTGATGCTACTCTCTCACTAGTTCCCTCCCTCCCTCCACCGTGCTATCTATTTTGTATATATACAAACAAGTCACAATAAGTTTAAGAGACTAATTTATGCTCAAGGGAACAGATGTTTTTCCAGAGTTAGTTGACATTCCTTCATTGTTTGGTTAGACACCCTTTTGGTCATATATACAATTTATACACTGATTTCCACTTGTTGTTTTTCTTTGCTCTTCAATGATTTTGACATATGTGCTGGTGGATTGCATTACCATGTCTGATCTTACAATCCCCCTCTGTATTTTCCTTTGACTTGTAATTTTCCCCTTCATTGATCAGTATGAGCATTTGCTTCTTATTTGGTTGCCAGTTCTCTTGTTCACTCGTTGTACTTGTGTGTTTTTCCTTGCAACAAAATTTTCAGCTCGCAGAATGCAGTTTTTGTAGATGGAGGCTGGACAGGGTTTGGCAGCAGAACTACACTGGAGAAATTTAGCGGCGCTGGTTACACAGAGTGGTTTCTGTCAAAGGATCATCTGCAAGTGGGAGACATGGTGCGTTCCAGGAGGCCACCTAACTCTTGCAAACCTGAAAATATGGATGTCCCGGAAGGAACCGTAGTGGGTTTAGAACGTGACCCAGATCGAGATGGTTTTGTTTTGGTGAGAGTTCACGGCATCCATGACCCATTAAGACTTCCTGTCTCAACCTTGGAACGAGTCACTTTTGGTCTTGCAGCTGGGGACTGGGTACATCTTAAGGAGGAAGACAGAAGGCACTCACCAGTGGGCATTCTTCATTCCATAAAACGTGATGGAAGTGTGGCTGTTGGATTTATAGGTGTGGAAACTCTCTGGAAAGGAAATTCTTCAGAGCTGCAAATGGCTGAACCTTACTTTGTCGGTCAGTTTGTGAGGCCAAGAGCTAATGTTCTTAGCCCCCGATTTGAATGGCCTCGTAAAACAGGAGGGGCCTGGGCTACTGGGAGGATTTGGTGGATCCTGCCCAATGGGTGCCTCATTGTAAAGTTTCCTGGAAGATTGACAATCGGACAAGAAAATAGCAGTTTCTTGGCTGATCCAGCTGAAGTGGAAGTAGTTTCTTTTAATTCCTGTCCTGGGGTCGTCAAAAAATATCAACACCTTGAGGATTTTCACTGGGCTGTAAGACCTCTTGTGATAGCTTTGGGTATATTTACAGCCATGAAGGTTGGATTTTTTGTCGGGAAGAAAATAGGGAGATCAAACAAGCGACAGGGTAGTGCAGTGCAAAGTAATGGCCACTATGTGGATGACCAGAATAGCGGCAGTGGTAGCAACCAATGGTTTCCGCCATCCGTGAAAAATATCCTTGGTGTTGGCCCTGCTGCGCGGTAGCTGAGCTTTTTCAAGCTCACAAAAACCTGTACATATTCATTTTAACTATCTGCATCATGTTTAGAACCTTTTTAGCGTCTTTCTTCCAAGTCGTGGTAGGAACTGGCACTACTGCTGGTGATTATTTACTTTTAATGAAGTCAAGCTTGCTCTTGATATATGTAATGCAAAGATGCGCGTATGCTTGTGCAGTTTCTGAAAGCCAGCACTATTTCGAGTGTTTCTTGTTTTGTTTCATGTTTTATTCATGTTTTCTCCGTTTGACTTGCATGATAATGGAAGCAAAATTAGGACACCCATTCATGGAAGAAGTTGTTGGCCATGCTCTATCCATCCATGCAAACCCAGATACAGAACTTATCAAAAATCGAAATATAGGAAACCCAAACTAGGAGAAAATTAATGGCATGAGCCAACCACCATACATACTGCCAGCTACTATGCTGTCCGGTAGATGCTTGACACCAAGCTAGGACATGTTACCCAAATCCAATATGTACCTAATTATAGTGGCAATCTCTTACTGATCGGGTTAAAAACTGTGCAACAGAAACATGCTCTCAGTGTCCAACTCATCATACTACAGATTTTGGCAACACAACAATTGAAGTTAGATACCTATACACAATCTATTTTTAACCTTCAGAATCTATCAATCTGCACCAACAGTAATACCAGCATCTTGCAAAAGTTGTTCAGTCAAAGATGACAGCCGAGAAACTTCTGTTTTAACCTCCTTGAAACATTCGTTGTTCTCTAACAGAACAAGGCCAGGACCAGAGCCGTTTGGCATGAAAATATCAGCATCAGCCTCAATGCTCAAGCTTGCTTTATTTAAAAGTTCTCGACTCATTTCTGCAAGTTTTTGCAGAGCGCTGGTGGCAGCTTCAACTTCAAGTTGAGCGGCCTCTAGTTTGAGTTTCTCAATAGCCAAGTCTCCAACACTACTCTCACCGATTCTCTCTTGCGCTAAAGAATAAAGCTTCCTCAGATCATTAGCATCTTCAACTGCCTCTTCCTTCAATTTTTTCAGTTCTTTCTCTTTTGTATCCAATCTCCCGAGAACTGTTTTAAGCTCTTCATCTTTGATTGCGAGAGCTCTCTTTGCAGCTAGAACTTCCATTTCTTTCACTCTTAAGCTTTCTCTGCTAAACTTGAGTTCTGTTTCATACTGCTTCTTCTGCAACCTAAAATCATCACTTAGTTCATCCAACGGTTGTTGAAAGAATTCCAAGGTCATATTGTTGGA